AAGAATAACGAAAAAAAAATGAAAATCTCAAAACAGAGTTACTACTCACCATCGGATGGATTGGAGAAGCGCCGTGGGGATGGACGATTATCCTGAAATTACTTGAGTAAAGAATGTGAAAGAAAGGGGTTGATAATACAAGTTGACGAATATATAGTGAGTTCTATTAAAAAATCCATGATTTTTGAAAATATTTGATTGAGCGCGTGAAATCCATCGCGAAGCTCTCAGATTTGGTAGGATTTGAAAATCGTACTTAGACATTCTCAAGAAAAAGCAGAACTATTTGATCAAGGTGATTTATGAATCGGCTACCACCTAATAAAGTGGAATCGCTAAAGCTGCGGCGAGTAGGGCTAAAGGCATACGGAGCCCATTCCCATCAAAGTGAAGCATGCTGCAGGAAGAGTTCTTGAACTGCGTCCCTTCCTAAGCCCTACCAAAACGAGCAAGCCAAATGCGACCGCCTCTGCCGCGGATTGTAGAACGCCCGCATGACGCTGCTTCCGAACTCTTCCCTTGTCTCTTAACACATTCATTCAGCAATAATTTCATTATTGAGATAAAAAAGTGATCTATTTTTTGCAGCTATAAATGAATATGGGCCACTCTGGAAGATGAAAACAGAGGAACCGGCATATGAGTGATGTGTAAGACATACCCTCTGCTTCAGAAAACCAGAAGCGCGTCGAGTGCAGAACACACACCACAAGTGACGACGGCCTCCAAGTATTCTGTAACTAGTGATTCATAGTGATAGCTGATAGTTGGTAAATGAGACAATTGTAATAGAATACAACTGCAACAGGCTAATCATTTCATTGGCAGAAAACATTACATTTTGTGAAGGCCGTCGTCACTTGTGGTGTGTGGTCTGCACCTCGAAGCCTTCTCGTTTTTTGAAGCAGAGTATATATGTATCCTGCGCGGTCGTCGTCGCGTTAAAAATAGGCACCTCACCACAATGAGCGGTGAATGGCTTTAGGGTCCCCAACGAACCGCAAAATTTCTCTCTTGCCGTTGGAATTGAAGTCACCCTTTCTACGGAAACCAGACCAATTTTAGAATGTCTTGGAGAACCAATCA